CACATTGCGGTGTGGTTCCCAGTGCGGTGTGCCACATTGCGGTGTGGCTCCCAGTGCGGTGTGCCACAGTGCGGTGTGGTTCCCAGTGCCGTGTGGCGGCTTGGTCCCAGCACCATTTTAAAAAACATTTTTTTTTCCCTGGGATGCGGGAAGTCCAACTTTCCTTGCCCATACCAAGCTCCCGTTGAACTGAGTGGCCTTCTGAAGACAGCTGAGAGTGAACCATATTGCTGTGGATCTGCAGTCAGATGTAGGCCAGGCCAGGGATGGTGACAGGGTTCCTTCTGTGAAGGACATTAGTGAACCAGGTGGAGCGTTCGATTCCGCAGTTTGTGAAATGCTGCCAGCTGCTGTAGCGGAAATTGACCTCGTATCACCAGAACATCCCGGCTGAATAACTAGTCCAGTCACGGTCCACCCCCATTTCCACACAAGACAGTGCAGGATCAGTTGATGCTGTCCTGCTCATCATTTCACCTGGTCTCTACATCCGAGTGTCATTAGAGCAAAACTGTACTTCATAGAATCACAGAATGTTCTGGGCTCGGAAGGAGCCATTCACCCCATTGTCTCTGTACTAGCCCTTCAAAGAACATCATTACCTGGTGCTGAACTCCCCACAGCCATACACACTATTTCTGTCCCAATAACCATCCAGTGCCTCGTGAATATTGCAGTCCATCCAAGGCCACTGCCCCTACCCTTGGAGTTTGGGTGCTCCTGACCATTTCTGACCTTTTGTTTCAGAGTGAAGAAGCTGAAGGAGACGCTGGTCGCTGTCCAGCAACTGGACAAGAACATGAGCAGCCTGCGAACGTGGCTTGCCCAGATTGAAACTGAGCTGTCAAAACCCATCGTCTATGATTCCTGTGATTCCCAGGAGATACAGCATAAGCTTGCAGAGCAACAGGTAAGCAAGCCTTCATTGTTTCCACCAGAGAATGGGAACTCACCGTGGCTCTGTGGTAACGCCAAGTTCAAAGGTCAGTGAGCCCATTTCCCAATGTAGAGACCTCGGCACAGCGTGTAACACTAAGGGAGTGCTGTCCTGTCAGAGCTGCTGCCTTTCAGGGAATAGACTTCATTGGCTTCAAAGCCCTTTGTGTTACAGCCGTTCATCTCCTCTCTTGCTCACTCTCCCACTCCGTCACTCTCGCTCTCTCTCACTGTGTCGCTCTCTTGCTCTCTCTCCCCTCATCAACACATGCTTTCTCTAGCCTCTTTCTTCTTTCTCTTTCTCTTTCACTTTCTCCCTCTCCTCCCAATTTTGTTTTCTGTTTCCCTTTCTCTGTCTCATTTTCTTTTTCTCTATTGCATTCACATTGCACATTCGTGTTTCCCTCCTCAACACTGTCTCAAGTGTTCTCTCTTGCATTCACTCTAGTTTTCTCTCTCTCTCTCTCATGTTCTCTGTCTCAAGTTCTTTCTCTCACACGCAATCTCCTTCTCCCTCGCATCCATTCTCAGATGCCCACTCTCACTCTTTCATCTCATGCTCTCACATTTGCTCTCTCTCATTCACTCATTCACTCTCTTTCTCCTTCTCGTGTTCACTCTCTCACTCACTCACGTTTGTCTCTCTCTTGTGTTTCCCTCTCATGCATTCACTCTTGTGTGCGTTTCCTCTCTTGTGTGCATTAATTCTCTCAGTCATGGTCACTCTCTCTCCTGTGTTTGCCCTCACGTGTTTTCTCTCTCTCTCTTTCCCCCACGCACGGACTCTCTGTCTCACACACATTCACTGGTGTGCACGTCCAGCCCCTCCCTGAGCCCTCGTTCCCCCCCAAGTCTGTTAGGAAGAAGCAGTGTTGGATGGTCAAAACACTCGAGAACAGAAGAGCTGCGAGATTGCCTAGTGTCAGGTGAATGGTGCTCCCCTCTGATCTCTCTGATCTTTGTATTTGCAGGAGTTGCAGCGGGACATTGAGAAGCACAGTACAGGCGTGGCTTCAGTCCTCAACCTCTGTGAGGTGCTGCTGCACGATTGCGATGCCTGTGCTACAGAAACGGAGTGTGACTCCATCCAGCAGGCAACCCGGAACCTGGACCGCAGGTGGAGGAATATCTGCGCTATGTCCATGGAGAGGAGGCTCAAGTAAGAAGAGCTGCAGTTCCCTGCTGCTGGGAGGTGTTGCAAAGTGTGACAGAGATTGTCCAAATAGATGTAGAATCCCTGCAGTGTGGAAGCAGGCCATTTGGCCCATCCAGTCCACACCAGTCCTCTGAAGAGTATCCCACCCAATCCCAGTAACCCTGCATTTCCCATGGTTAACCCACCTAATCTACACATCCCTGAACACTGTGGACAATTTCCCGTGGCCAGTCCACCTAGCCTGCACATCGTTTTGGACTGTGGGAGGAAACCGGAGCACCCGGAGGAAACCCACGCAGACACAGGGAGAATGTACAAACTCCACACAGACAGTCGCCCGAGGGTGGAATTGAACCCAAGTCCCTGACGCTGTGAGGCAGCAGTGCTAATTACGGAGGTGCCATACCACCGGGCAAGCAGCATTTGGAGAAATGAGTGGTTCCAGGGGCTGGCAGTACCAGCTGCGTGATGTGCAATGATCTGAGCTTTCTAACATTCTCCCCATTGTATAATTCCGAAGATGAGTCATACCGAACTCAAACCATTAAACATGTTTCTCTCTCCACAGAGAGGGGCTGCCAGACCTGGTGAGTTTCTCCAGCACCCTCTGCATTTGTTTTGTACAATTCTACCTCTCCCGTTCCTGCCTCAACCCCCTCCGCTGCTGAAAACCCTCACCTGGCACTTCTTAAAATTTGCCCTCTGAGCCGACTATAGTAGTGCATTGCTAACAGCCCAGACGTTCAGCTTCAGGGAATCTGAGCTCGTTTAATGTCCTCCAATAGCTATTTCATAGAACTGAGCGAGTCACAGAGGGGTACAGCGCAGGAAAAGGCCCTTCGGCCCATTGAATCTGCGCCGGTTGAAAACAAACACCTAACTATCCATACTGGCTGCACGACAGTGGGCCATTCGGCCCCACAGGTCACTACTTACTGCATGTAGGGTCCTCCCACTCTGGCTCACTGCGTCGTAAACTTCCCCCACCCCCTCACACCCGCTGTTTGTCCTCTTAGGATTGAGGAGACCTGGCGATTGTGGCAGAAGTTTCTGGATGATTATTCTCGCTTCGAAGACTGGCTTCAAACATCAGAGCAGACGGCGGCAATGCCTAATTCCTCTGAGGTTTTATACACGGTTGCCAAGGAGGAGCTGAAGAAGTTCGAGGTGCTGTAAGAAAGAGCTGACGCTGGACAGCTGCGACAATGTTGCGATTAAAATGTTAAATCTGCCGGCACTTTTATGGGGGATCTCTCCACGAGTAATTGCAAAGGTCCTCATTTTAAAGAGGAATTGCTGGTGTAAACATGTCACGCTGCAGTTACACTCTGCTGCCATGGGAGGGAGCAGGGAGTGCAGTGGTGCTGGAGTGCACCCTGCTGGCAAGAGTCGGTAATTGTAATGTGAATTAGAAATGTGGACCATTGGCACTGGATTTGTTAAGAGTTCTAACTTCGAAATAGTGATGGAGGGCTCTTGTGGCACTGCGGTGTTGTCCCTCCCTCTGAGGCAGGAGGCCAGGGTTCCAGTCCCACTTACTCCGGAGCTGTGTTGTAAGATCTCTGAAAATATCTGAAATGGTGATGGATTTATGTCTTCACCTTGTCCTTGTGAAATTATTCTCTAACCTCACTTGCCCTGAAGCCTGCATATGGGTCAACTCCCACCAGACCCCAAACTCACAGGTAATTTTAATAATAAATAAAAATTAGCATGGATGTCAAACCAGCCTCAAAGTCACTAAAATCTGTTTTCCACTGTCATGCAAATGTCAAGACCTACCCATCCCTGCCTCACATGCAATCCTACATGAGATGACAACAATGTTTAGAAAGAAAGTCGCCACAATACCACTCTCTCATTGGAGAGGGACAGTTGTTAGTGATTGGTTTAACCTGAGGGTTGCCATCCCTCAGATGGGGGGAGAGACAGTGAGATGTACAGCACAGAAACAGACCTTTCAGTCCAACTCGTTCATGCCAACCAGATATCCTAAATTAATCTGGTCCCATTTGCCAGCATTTGGCCCATATCCCTCTAAACCCTTCCTATTCATGTAGCCATCCAGATGCTTTTTAAATGTTGTAATTGTACCAGCCTCTACCACTTCCTCTGGCAGCTCATTCCATAGGCACACCACCCTCTGCATGAAAAAGCTACCCCTTAGGTCCCTTTTAAATCTTTCCCCTCTCACCTTAAACCTATGCCCTCTCGTTTTGGACTCCCCTGCCCTGGGTAAAGACCTTGGCTATTCACCCTATCCATGTCCCTCACGATTTTATAACCCTCTGTAAGGTCAGCCCTTAGCCTCCAGCACTCCAGGGGAAATAATCCCAGCCTATCCAGCCCCTCCCTATAGCTCAAACCTCCCAACCCCGGCAACATCCTTGTAAATCTTTTCTGAACCCTTTCGAGTTTCAAAACATCTTTCCTATAGCAGGGAGACCAGAACTGCACGTAGTATTCCAAAAGTGGCCTAACCAATATCCTGCACAGCTGCAACAGGACCTCACAACTCCTTTACTCAATGCACTGACCAATAAAGGCACAAGTGCCAAACACCTTCTTCACTATCCTGTCTCACTGCAACTCCACTTTCTGTGAACTATGAACCTGCGCTCCAAGGTCTCTGTTCAGCAACACTCCCCAAGAGGTTGAGAAGGAGAATCCTTCTCGGTAACCTCAGGCAGAGCAGAAGTTGAACCCGTGCTGTTGTCATCACAAACCAGCCATCTAGTCAAACTTTACCACAATGAAACACCCCACAGAGTATTATAAAACACACTAGAAGGGTCACATCAGGACATATTGGGTCAGGTGACCAATAGCTTGTCCAAAGAGGTAAGTTTTCAGCCATGCCTTAAAGAAGGAAATTGAGTTGAGGGGGAGGAAATTTCAGAGCCTTAAGCCTTAGAAAGCTGAAGGCACGGCCACCATTAAAATGAAGAGTACACAACAGACCAGAAGCAGGAGAGCTTAAACATTGGGAATGTTTAGAGAGAGTTTGCAGCGAAAGGGATGGGGGTGTGCGATGCTGTTGAGGTCTCACTTGCTGTAGACGTGTGTCATAATATATCTGAGCAGGTTGATCAAAAACATCTACAGAGGCATGGAGGGCGTGAGGCTATTCCGGGGTGGATTTGGATTTGAAAACGGGGATATGCATTTTAGAATCGGTGCATTTGCTTGACTGGGAGCTAATGTCGGTCAGCGAGCACAGGGTAACAGGCCTGGCTACGGCTTGCGCTCAGTGTGGGGGGAGGGGGTTATAAATGTATTTTGGTTCCAACAGGGGATCCTGTAGCCACGCCGTTCTGGCTTCAGTTTGCATTTTTGGATCTTTGTTTGTAACATTGTGCTTGTAGATTTCCTCGCAATGTAACGGGCAAGCGAGAATGTTCTGTTACCTTTTTGCTTTGCCCCCCCCCCCACCCTCAGGCATTTCAACGGCAGGTCCACGAGAGCCTGACACAGTTAGAGCTGATCAACAAGCAGTATCGGAGGTTGGCTCGTGAAAACCGCACGGATTCTGGCAGTAAGCTCAAAGACATGGTCCACGAGGGGAACCAACGTTGGGACAACCTGCAACGGAGGGTCACAGCCATCCTCAGGAGACTGAAAGTAAGACCTGATCAGCAAGGGCTGACTGTGTAGACGACTTTCTGACTACGATTCTCTGTATACTTGTACAGTGTACCATTGTATTATTTTAACATCGCGAAATGTCCTAAGCTGCTTCACAGGAGCAACTACCAGATAGGAGAAAAAAACACTGACTAGGGCAGAATGTCCAAATTTCCAAAAGTGTGGGAAATGAAGTAGGATTTAAAGAGAATCTAAAAGGTTTCGAGAGTGAATTCCACTGCTTTGGTGTCTTAGCAGCTGAAGGAGCAATCAGCAGTGATGGAGAGATTGAAATCTGGGATGTTCAAGAAGCTGGAATTGAAGGAAGAGGGATCTGTTAGAGGCTTGGGAGCTGGGTGAGACCACTGCGGAGGGATTTGAGCACTCAGATGAGGTGTTTAAAATTTGAGGTGTTACTTAACTGGAAACCGGTACAGGCCAGCAAGGACTGACAGCTTAAACTGAAAGGATGCACGTCTCCATTATTTACTGACTGGAAGGGTCCTCTTTGAATTGCGTTTGGGAGATTTAAACTTAATTTGCAGGTATATGGCCCTGCACCATGAATTGTCTCTAGTTCATACTGAGTGACAGTACCTCTCCAACCAACCTCATGATGGACTGACAAAAACCAAGTACTGCAGATTCTCGAGATACATTCTGTGTCTCAAAGACTCAGCAGGTTTCACAGCACACATAGGGAGAGAGAGTGACAGAGTTGATTATTTGAGTTAAGCTATGACCCGAGAAGTTCTGAAGAAGTTATTTTCAATTTGAAAAGTTTACTCTTGTTTTACTCTGTCCACAGAGGCTGCTAGACCTCTTGAGTTTCTCCAACACTTTCTGCTTTTGTTAGTAAAAGTGACTGATGTTGGAGGGATTTGGGAGGCAAAAGGCTCCGTACTATACATGATGGAGGGTCTGTAGACCTTTAGATTGAGGCTGTGTTTCTGGGGGAGATCAGAGGGAGCTTAATCCTGCATTGTGCTATGTAGTCTCCGGGAGTATCTGATACTGATACCATGTCCATCAAAGGCAGAGAGTTTAGTTCCTCATTATTCCATGAAGGTGAAACCCTATTTAGCAAATAATGAAATAAAAAAAACACCTTTATGAATAACCCAAAGCACTGTGGACAAGTTTAATTGCTTCAATTTGATTTCCTTGTTAAAAACGCCTGGATTTAGAAGCTTCTTGTTTTATTTGTCCTGTTTGTACAGCACTTTATTGGTCAGCGAGAGGAGTTTGAAACCACACGTGAGAGTTTCTTGGTCTGGTTGACGGAGATGGACCTGCAGCTGACCAACATCGAGCACTTCTCCGAATGTGACGTTCAGGCCAAAATCAAACAACTAAAGGTAGGTACAGGAACGATCCACCCGGGGTAGATTCAATCTGAAGGGTAATGTGTCAACGGCTCAAAGTGCTCTCGACCAGGATTTATTTTCGTACTCTGTGTTGGGGGACCGGGATAGGACGGAGATAACAGTGTGGAGCTGGAGGAACACAGCAGGTCAGGCAGCATCAGAGGAGCAGGAAAGCTGACGTTTCTGGTCTGGACCCTTCTTCAGAAATGGGTCTTCTGAAATAAATAGAGGGGCGGGGTGTCGGGCTGGGGAAGGTAGATGTGATGGTGATAGGTGAGTACAGGTAGGGAGTGGTGGGGATTGGTCAGTGAGGTGGGAGGAATGGATATGTGGGAGAGAAGATGGACAAGTTGTGTCAGGGCAAGGAGGCGGGGATGATAGGGAGGCTTGGACGTGGGATGAGACCGGGGGTAGGGAGATTTTGAAACTGGTAAAGACCACAAGCATTGGCAGTTCTTACTATCTTTGAGATAGGACAGAATTGGTTTTGATGATCAGCCCTGTGTCTGCAGTACAAAGCCATTGCTATTGCAAGTATCTCAGCTAGCTTTGTAAGAAAGGGAGGCAGTCAAACTTTTATGAATTTTAAAACATTAAATCTGGAGATTTATTTTTAGAAAGCTGCACTTGTCTTTTACCAACATCTTTGAGTCACCTCAACAACATAGTAAAGAGATCCAAATTCAATGCCGCGTTCAAAAGTCTTAATCCTCATGTCAGTTTAATTCTCACTTTTTAATGTTGAGTGTATATATAGTTGTAGGCAAAATTGACCGTAGCTTAATTCTTGTTAGCTTTATTCACTTCTGAGAAGTGGGAGTCACTGGCTAGAGATTTCTCTTCAAAAATCGGTCTATCTTTTGTTTGTTGTCCTGTTGCTGAGTTTGGTATCCTTCCAAATCTCTGAAGTGTTGCCTTAATTTCCAGGGAAGGAGGACTTACTTTCACAATGAGGTGTTAACAATAAGTGGTGTTTAGTGGTAATTTTGATGGCGATATTAATTGTCACTCGGGCCTGTTTTCTGGATGAAGAAAACATTGCTTTGTCTCTTGTGTGATGCAGATGTGAGTATTAAGACAGTGAAATAAATCACTTAAAGCACTCAGAAAAATGGCGACTCCAGCCTAGGGTGTGAAACCGAGTGGAGAGGCAGGAGCAGGATTTTGCCCCTTGGGTTGGGACCTTGACATTGGGATCAGATGGGATCACACCCCTGCATTGTGGGGAGTAGTCACCTGATGGTGATTTTCCCCCAACTTGCCTAATGAGAGTGGGGCTGTGTCTGATTCATGACAGCAGTCACATTTTCGAAATTTTGGGGGCGGTGGGGGTGAATAGGAGATTCATCAGCTGGGAGGAATCTGTAGCTTGTAGCAGCTGCAGACGGGGAGAGAGAGAGAAATTCCTGTTTTGAGGTGCCCTCGTTCCCAGACAGCAGTCAGAAACCAAGACCCCATACTCACGTCTCATAGTATCCATTGAAACCTGAAACAATTTGGACTAGTTAATGAGTCTGATCCCACACCAGGGTAGTTGACTATGAACCTTCCCCTCACATCCCAAGAAGTGTCTCGGTTGTCTGAGAACATTCAAGAAGTTGCTGACCACTTTCTCCAAGAAGCTAGCAATGGGTAATTAAGTACCAGCTTTGTCAGTGACGCCTGTTGTTAAAAGGCCACAAATAGATGGCACCACCTATCGGGAAAGCCCAAACGTTTAACACACCCAGCCTGATGGCTCCCACAGCAGAGGCGAGGTAGCTGCAGATTTTGGAAATGTTTTGGGAGGAGGAGGAGGAAATAGAGTGGAAGATCTGGGCATTAGAGCTGAGGGGATCTGCGCTCGCTCTCTTTATTATGGGAAGCAGCATGTGGGGCAAACTCACAACAACAGTGGAGTGTTTTTGTGGTTAGAAAGAGTTGGTTGGAACAGAACTGCGTACCTCTAATTAAAGAAATATGACCATAAGACATTGACGTAGGAGTAAGCCATTCAGCCCGTTGAGTCTGCTGCACCATTCAATGAGATCGTAGCTGATCTGATCATCGTGAACTCCACTTTCCTGCCTTTTCTCCGTAATCCTTGATCCCCTTACTGGTCACAAGTCTATCTCAGCCTCAGATATGCTCAATGACCCGGCCTCGACAGCCCTTCGCGGTAAAGAATTCCACAGAAACGCGTCACCTCTGAATTTCAAATTGGAGTGAGAGACAAACGAGGTCACCAGCGTTTTTGGCCCTTGCCACCTCTCTTCCTTCTCTGTAGCTACCTCTGCCTCTGGGCACTGACAGTCTCTCTGTCCATCTGCAGGCCTTCCAGCAGGAGATAGATCTCAACATGAACCGAATCGACCAGCTCTTTGTTCACGGAGAGTGGCTCATTAAGAAGAGTGAGCCAGTGGACGCTGCAATCATCGAGGAAGAACTGGAGGAACTTCACCGGTACTACCAGGAGGTCTTCGGACGAGTGGACCGATACTATAAGAAGCTAATGCAGCTTCCGGTGAGCAATTCCTCACGCACGGTTTTCATGATAGTGTGCCAATTCTCATGAATGTGACACCCACGATGCCTAGAGTGTGGAAGCAGGCCATTGGGCCAATGCTCCTCCGAAAAGCATCCCACTCAGACCCACGCCTCTACCCTATCTCTATAACCCTGCATTTCCCATTGCTAATCCACCCAGCCTGCACTCCCCTGGACACTATGGGGCAATTTAGCATGGCCAATCCACCTTTGGACTGTGGGAGGGAACCAGAACCTGGAGAAAGCCCACACAGACACGGGGAGAATGTGCAACAGACACAGACAGTAGCCCGAGGCTGGAATCGAACCCGTGTCCCCGGCGCTGTGAGGCAGCAATGTTAACCACTGAGTCACCGTGCCGGCCCATCAGGATTATTGCTTTTCAGGAGCTTAGCACTGAATACTGATGTGAATCTGTTTCCCCGACACTTTAAGCTATTTCATACAGTCACTGCATTTTCCTTGCGTTACCTGGAAACTGAGAAAAGTTTGTAACTCATGTAACATCTGTAATTGTTTTTAAGGTTGCTTGAAAAGGGCTTGTAGGAGTTTGCATTGTTTATAAAGGGATCAATTATCATAGCATTTGCTTGTACTATAGCAGATATTGGTCTATGTGATTTAGTGACCTTGACCTGGAAGCAGTACCGGTAGGGAAGAAGTTAAGGAAGAAGGTATCAAGCTGGCAGACACAATGGAAAGATACAGGCAGAATAGCTAGAGTTTGAAGGTACAGATGTCTACACAAAATAAAAGCAGACTGAGATAGAAAGAGAAATGCAGGAAATTCTTGTGAGGAGCTAAAGTAACTAATATCTCAGAGGAAGAGGTCAGTTTTCCTGTTTGATACAAAAAGGAGACAGCAGCTCTTGGAGTTACTGGGTAAGCTGAGTAAAAAAAGCCTTAAAATTCAGAAAACTGCTTGAAAACCTCAGAAACACAAAAAATCCAGATATTTTCCTAGACATGGCCAAATCTTGTATTGTTGCTTGGTCGGTTGGAAAGGAACCCTTGAAAGCTACACTGTCAGGACTGCTGTAACCCTAGGGAAAGGGCCTTTATTATCAGCAGAATGCATTTCCATAATCATACCCCTGAAACTCAAAGGTGAAAGCTGTTGTTGGATAGGACTGCATTGTGGAGCTCTGTGGATAAGTGATGTCTGCAGGGAATGGTTGTCGTAGAAACACAGAATTCCTACAGTGTGTAAGCAGGCCATTCAGCCTATCAACTCCACACCAACCCTCTGAAGAACGTTCCACCCCATTCCTATAATGTTGCATTTCCCAATGGCTAACCCACCTAGCCTGTACATCCCTGGACACTATGGGCAATTTAGCATGGCCAATCCACCTAACCTGCACATCTTTGGACTGTGGGAGGAAACTGGAGCACCCGGAGGAAACCCACACAGACATGGGGAGAATGTGCAAACTCCACACAGACAGTCGTGCGAGTGTAGAATCAAACCCAGGTCCCTGGAGCTGTGAGGCAGCAGTGCTAACCACTGAGCCACTATACCACCCTGTAAGGGTATTGTTGGTGTATCGTCTGTTCAAAGTGAAATGTATCTTTTGATGAAAGTGCTGTTTACTTGTGAATTCGTGTTTAATTTGGATGAGTTCAGATTGATGTTGAAGTTACAGAAAGTGAAATCTTGTTGATAATTTTTTCATTTGGGGCTTATTCAGTAAATTTGTTCATTTCGTTTAGAGTTTCCCCCACAGAGTTTATAACACTGTCCCCATTGAGAGGCCGACAGAGTGAGCCCTGTAATGGTGCCCATATGATAGTGAGACGCGGAATTTATGTTGGTAGACCCCCAAAGTAATTGAACAGTAGCCACTGCAATCTCTCCCCGAGTAGTATCGATATTTACCACTTGGTTCATAGTTTAATGATCTGATGCAAGCAACTGCAGGTTATTGGTCATATGCTTCAGTTATGATGCCAGCATTGGTAAGGGCTGAACTTAGGTGTGTGTGTGTGTGTGTGTATGTATAACACTGTAAACCTGTGCGCTGCTAGTTTAGAGCCAATGGGATCCATTGCTATCTCTAACATGGGTGGCTAGGAAAATCCTTCAGTTTCATATTACAAATCCAACAGCCTAAACACGTCTGTGACCAGAGGGAGCCATTTGCAGATGTTGTGTTTATTTATAGAGTATAAACTGCGTGTTGGTATGCAGCAAGTTCAGATGGGGTAAAGCTGGGAGTGAGCTCAATCAAAATGATGCCTTGTAACTCTGTCACTGACTTTAAGTTCTCTAGCCTGTTTATATATAAACAGTTTATTTTTTAATGTGTCAAATTAGACAAAATGAATTTTGCATAAAGCACTTGCATCTGTATTTATACTGCGATTTAGATTGGCACAGAACAAGCATTTGTGCTTGGAGGAAGGGCTCTGAATGCAATTGTCCGCCAGGTCTGCAGACTGTCCTGCTTCATTTCTATCTACTTAGGTGGACAAGAATTTCTGAAAACTTAGGAACATTCCCTGCTGTGTCCTAGCAGGTAATTGTAGTGCAGAGATATTGTACTGGATTAGACTTGAAATGTGAGCATTCTTTTCCTTCCCTCAAACACAGTGTGTGCGCCGAAGGGACTGCCAAAAAGCCAGCAGCTTTTCCATGTGTCTGTCTCTCTCTCTTTCTTTCTTTCTTTCTTTCTTTCTTTCTCTCTGTCTCTCTCTCTCTTTCTCTCTCTTTCTCTCTCTCTCTCTCACACTCACACTCACACACACACACACACACACACACACACACACACACACACACACACTCATTCTGTTGACATTGTTCTCATTTTTGAACATCTTCCTTTACAACTTTTCGCTTCGTTCGACTTGTGTTGTCTCTTCTTAATGACAATTTCTTTCTCATGCACACAAGTCACTTGGCCTCCCTCTCAGACTTTATGAAAGTTCTGTTTGGAGCAGTTGCCTTGGGTGATGCACACAGCAGAGAGACAGCAGTTGAAGGAGGAACGTGTTAGAAATATAAATTGCAGTACAGAGAGAATCTTGTTCCAAAATTAAAAAAAAACAAAACGCTTACAGTTTGTCAGTTTGTACCAATCCTTCCTGTTGATTTACTTTTCCTTGTAGTCCCTATTGCATACAAATAGTTATCTCATGAGTACCACACACAAATGGAATGAATACAATAAGATCTCCGTTCCCTTCATCTATAGCAATACAAATTCAATAGAAAGAATTGTCGTGTTGAAATCATCCAGCAGGTCCATCAAAATTGATGAAGAGAGCTGTCCAGTTCATATAGGATAGATGCCACAGAAACAAGCCATCCAGCCCAGTTCGTCTATGTTGGTGTCTGTGTCTCACTCGAGTCTCTTCCCATCTCCACCTCATCTCATCTGTCACTACAACCCTTTTCCCTCATGTGCTTGTCTAACTTAAACTTGCTGCATCTATACTGTTTGCTTCATCCACTCCCTGTAATAGTAAATTCCACATTCTCACCAATCTCTGTGCAAAGCACTGTCTTCTGGCACTTGATTCACAACTGACATGATCTCCTGTCTATATTCTTGAGTGAACAGGAGCAGGCCTTATTGAATATAACTATATGCAGAGGATGATAAAACAGGACATCTTTTCTGCAGCCCTACAAAACCAGGCTCCAGCTCTATGGGATCACTAGGAGAACTCCTTTAGCACGTGCTCGCTAGCTATCCCTAGAGTAAAGGATCAATACCCTTTAATCTGCAACTCTCGCCAAATTAGAGCCATAGAGTCATACAGTCAAACAGACCCTTCGGTCCAACCAGTTTAAGCCAACCGTATTTCCAAATTAAACTAATCCCACCTGCCTGCATTTGGCCCATATCCCTCCAAACATTTCTTATTCGTGTACTTATCTAAATGTCTTTTAAACATTGTAACTCTACCCACATCTACCATTTCCTCAGGAAGTTCATTCCACACACGAATCACACACTATGTAAAAAAATAACTTCTTTAACCTCGCCCTGTGTTACCATTAACATTTAAGCAAGAAAACAACTTCCTTTAATTCCAGTTTGTCCCCTGCTCCAAAAGTCCATTGCTTGACGGACTAATCTCTAATGGCGTCCTCAGCTTTCAAGCAGGATGGGTAAGAGGTGTATGATCTCTTATCCTTTCCTTGGAAGGTGAATGCATTGGTAGACGCGTTTCTGTGCTAACACAAAGTAACATCTAGAATGCCTTCTTGAGGCTGATTACCTTCAGTTTTTAATCCACCTGCAGTCTCTGTTCTGAGGGAGATGAAAGATCTATATTGTTTCCATGATGGTGGAGTTTCTATAGTGAAAAGTGTATCAAGGCTCACTGGGTGAACTTTGGTATCTTCACCATTAGCTCACGTCCCCCAGCGCTGAATCAAAGATGAGCTGAGAACCCCTGACCATAGCAAGCTGATGAAAGAAAGGATGTACCTCATAGTCGTAGAGTCATACAGCATGGAAACAGACCCTTCAGCCCGACCAGTCCATGCTGACCATAATTCCAAACTAAACTAGTCCCACCTGGCTGCCCCTGGCCCATATCCCTCCAAACCTTTCGTATTCACATACTTACCTAAATGTCTTTTAAATGTTGTAACTGTACCTGCATTCATCACTTCCGCGCGAACCACCCTCTGTGTAAAAAATTTGCCCTCATGTCTTTTTTAAATCTTTCTCCTCTCACTTTAGAAATATGCCCCCTCAGTATTGAAATCCCCCACTCTAGGGAAAAGGCACCAGCCATTCACCTAAACTATACCCCTTATGATTTTATAAACCTCCAAAAGGCCACTTCTCAACCTCCTACGTTCCAGTGAAAAAAGTCCCAGCCTATCCAGCCTTTCTTTATAACTCAAACCTTCCATACCAACAACACCCTGGTCAATCTCTTCTGAACCCTTTCCAGTTTGAAAATATCCTTCCTATAACCGGGCGACCAGAACTGCACACAGTGCTCCAGAAGAGGCCTCATCAATGTCCTGTACAACCTCAACGTGACTTCCTAACTCCTGTACTCAAAGGACCGAGCAATGAAGTCAAGCATGCCGAAACAGCTACCTCTGTATCCATTTTAAAATTAGTATTCTTGCTGTAAAGCTTGGTTTTTGAGTAAGGGAGTTGAAATCTTGCAGTGGGCTTAATACATCCAGCAGTAAGAGTTCATCCAGCCTTTCTGTGTCTCCTGCTGTGGGTCCGGGCGCTCACTGTTGTGGTCTGTGTTTAATTCTCTGTACTGATCTGTTTATGTCACGCTCTGCATTTGTCACCCTTAGAAACGAGCTGCATTGAGTTCCTGGTGATGCGGTTCCATGACATGAGGTCCTCGCCCAGCTTCTTGTTTAACAGTCTGAGCGCTTGATTCTTCCCCATTGTTGTAAATACCTTTGATTTCCTGTAGGGTTTTAGTGACCGGTTGACTTTCTTGTTTCTCGTTACCTGTGCCTGTGGCATTCTGCACTGTAGGCCTTCTGCATTCTGTCAGCCTTTGCATAGGCCTCACCTCTCTACAGTTCGATATAAAGTGAAACATCCCTACTACCACCGAACCTCACAGGTATTTCCTCCACTGCTGAGGTCAGATCATGGGGCTTAGCCTGACACTGTGCTGTCGCTGAACTTCACTTTGGCTCCTCTGAGCTCTTGCCTCTGATAACGTGGGTCTAACAGCATTGCCACCGTGGAGCAATGTGAGCTCTACATCCCCCGTCAGCGAGCAGCAACAGACTTCATTGAACATTACTTTATACAAAGGATGGTAAGAGAGGACCTCTTTTCTAGAATCTTACAGACCCAGGTGCCAGCCTCATGTGAGATGGCTGTTTTTGCTCATATTCAGCAGCTTTTAAAGATATAACACTCTACAGTTGATTTACAAAGCACAGATATGAAGAAGCTAGACAGCTGCATGAGGGAGAAAGGAACTGACGGAAGCAATGAAGTCAGGATGGAGGAAGCTTGTTTAGAGTAGGAGCCAGTTGGGCCGAATGGCCTGGTTTTGCACTGGAAATTTCAGTGTTCTGTGTAAAGGGCATATTTCATCACTGTCTGGTGACTGTGTTTTATTCAGTCTGGGTTAATCGAGTTGCAGTGATGGCAATGATTTCCTCTCTCCCTTTAGCTGACTGACGATGAGCATGAGGTGTCTGACCGGGAAGCAGAAATAGATGACAACAGTGAATTCTCCAGCATGCAGTGGCTGGATAGAGCTGCAGACAGTGTGGGAACCCCACTGCTGGCCCTGAGCCGGGGCACCGGTCTCCCACAGCCCAAGGACACTCGATCAGGGCGGGATACCCCAGCCAGCGTCGACTCCATCCCCCTGGAGTGGGACCATGATTACGACCTGAGTCGGAACTTGGAGAGCGCAGTGTCACGTGCACTGGAGGGTGCGGAGGATGGCACTGCGGACGAAGACAGCGATTTCTACCTCAAAGGAGCGGCTGAAATCACAGGTGGGTGTCTGTCTGTGTGTGTGTCAGTGTTTGTGTGTGTCTGTCTGTCTGCCTGTCTGTGATTATGTATGTGCATGCGTGCCTGTGTGTGTGTGTGTGTGTGTGTGTGTGTCTGTCTGTCTGTCTCCCTCCCTGTCTGTGATTATGTATGTGCGTTTGTGTGCGTGTCTCTGCACGTGTGTGTTGTGTGTGCATGTGTCTGTGTGTGCCTGCCTGCCTGCCTGCCTGCCTGTGATTATGTATGTGCGTGCGTGCCTGGCTTTGTGTGTGTGTCTGCCTGTGTGTGATTCTGTGTGTGCGTGATTCTGTGTGTGCGTGATTCTGTGTGTG